GTAGAAAAAACAAACTTTATTTTTGAAAATGAAAGCAAGTTTGAAGACAAGGATGCCTACAAACTTGCTTTTTTACAAAAACAAAATTCGTCTTTTCACTGTAAAATGTGTCCTTATCTGATTGAGTAGCCAGAAATGATAAAGAGCATGAGGGAAGCAAAAAAAAGGTGCACGTGTGTTCATTGATAAGATAATAGAAAGGTATTCACCTATGGGTCATGTATTTCTAGCAAAAATCGCTTCTTCTTTATCGGACAAATAAAGAAGTGCATCTGTCATTAATCAAGAAAGAAACAACTATTATTAATACTAATTCTGGTATTCAAACAGGCGCTTTTAGCAAAAAAGTGCTTTATACTTAATCACACAGTAATTTTAATTACAAACAAAAGAGTTTTTCAATTCTAAAACCTTCTCGTACGCGTTTGTGAAATTTTTCTTATGAGCAACTTTCTATTCTGGAAGAGAGATTATTTTCATAATCAATTAAAATAAATTAATCTACCGGTAATTGTTTGTTGATTAAACATATCAAATGTTTTTTCTTTCTTGAATTGATTATCATAAATTTGAATTGAAATTTTTTGTTTATCATTGATGAAAAGTAAAATCTTATTTTCATTATAAGTAATTCGAATAGAATTAAATTTTTCCAAATCAAGAACTTTGCTAACAATAATTAAATTTTCTAATGATAATTTTGTTTGATTATATTTTATAGTATAAATCGAATTATGAATTACAACTATATATTATAATAATTGTTTTTTTTACTTATCATCTGCTGAAGATATGATAAAATCCATTTTGTAATATTTGTATTTCCAATAAAAGATCATTTAAACCAACCTAATACATGGGTAAAATCATTTGTTAATGGCCTGACTTCGCAAAGTTAAAATACTTATATCTCAAGATAAAGAATTTGATAAGAGATAATTTTTATATTTTACATATATGTTAAGTTACTCTAGGAGGCATTGCACGTAAGCCACGACCACTTACAGTGAAATGTTGCTCAATCAATCTCACCGATTTGGCTGATATTTTTACAGTAGGTAGGCCTAACAGAGCTAGGAAGAAACTAAAAGTTTCAGCTCAAACGGATGAGTTGTTCCAGAGATATAGATGAGACAAGTATGAGGGAGTGGGTCTCATTTGGGGTATCCTATAGTGCAATACTTTCCAGTAAAGTTTCATTTTCTCAACAATGATGAGAGTTATAATAGAGATTTTTTTACCATAGATACTATCGATGACGGGCTATCTTCTCATAGTATTAAAAGTTTCTTATTGTGTAGTATTTTTAAGTTAGTATTATAGACCATTTCTAGAAAGCAAGATTCTATAGAAGAGGCAAGTTAGTCAAATCAGTGTGATAGGTCAACTCGAGGATAGTATCATTTGAAAGAGTACATCAGACTGCGTCGAGTGCCGTTTTCAAAAGTTTGTTATTTTGTACTTTAGTTGCGAAACTATTTTGAACAAGATCTGAAAGGCCAAATTTGGGGTCCCATTCTAACTATGAAGATTGACGATTTATTTTCAAATATTCAATTTATATATTTCAAATGAAAGCCCATGTCGAGAAACCTCGGAATTCAAAATCTCAGCTCATTTGAGCATGTCTGTGAAAAATGGGGAAAGTGGCGTTTCGTCTCACTTTTCCGTTACGGACTCCGGTTGTCATAGTCCGTTACGATCTCCGGACATGAGAAAAAAGACAGGGTGTTCGGAATGGAATTGTCGATGACAAAATCAATGAAAAGCAACAAAAAACTGGATGTTCGGAATGAAGTTTGTCCAGGAATCCGTAATGAAATCTAACAACCTATTTTTAGTAGTTGAACAGTGGAATTTTTACTGGAGATCGGAAGGAAAAGATCCGGAAGTTCGTAATGATAAAGACAGGGTGATCGTAATAAAGACTACCAGATCTTCGGAATGAAAATGACAGGATATCCGTAAAGAAAAGAGCAGGATATTCGTAACTATCTATCTTGAGATATACTCCTTGTAATATTCTGAAGTGACATGCTTGTCTTCTAAGTAGGGCTGTCATATTCCACTTACTATTACTAGTAAGTGGTAAGTGTTAACACTTACCACTTACTGGTAAGTGGTAAGTGGTACCACTTACCACTTACTGGTAAGTAGTAAGTGGTACCACTTACCACTTACTGGTAAGTAGTAAGTGGTACCACTTACCACTTACTGGTAAGTGGTAAGTAGTACTTACTAGTAAGTGGTAGATAGTGACCGATATTGCTCATTAGTTATTGGATAAGTGATACATATCACTTCCAGGTAAATGGTTTGCATGTAACTGAAGGTAGGCTATTTATGTTATTTTATCAATCCTTTGCCAGATTATATGTATTCCATGCACACATTGACAAGTGCGGCACTGTATGAATGAGAGAATACGCATAATATGAAGAAGTATCAACAATCTTCCAAGATGGTCGACCGATCTTGGAATCGTTGATCTCTCGCGAAAACTATCAGTGCGCCCACAAACCGAGCAGCCTCGTGACATTCCCAGAAGTATATGAGCACATCGATTTGTCATCGCTCAATAAACATCTTCTCGTTCGAAGCCGCCAAAAAACATTCGAATGAAACTTGATAGGTTTGCCATAGATTTCAGCCTTTGAGGACGGTGATACATGCGTTGTACTACCTAGTTTTCAGCAGAGAAAGAATTATTTGTTCTTCATTAAATCGTATACTGTCACTGACGAAGTCTCTCTTCTCTAAATTCAAGCGGAAAAAACCCTACACTAAAAAAAAACAAGATATTATGCCGAACTTGCATCCAGGCCAAGAGTCTTTTTAGATCCTGTATGAACTTAGCGAGCTGAAAAGGCTCGGTAGGTTCGTACGGAATTCTAAAAGATGTAACCCCTAGAGACAGGTCTAGTAACATACCAATTCCATTTTAGAGTGGAGAAGACTTCTTTTTTGAAAAGAAGCCTAAATAAGAATTATTTTAATCTAATCTTCTTTTGCTGATCAAATTCATTTGCGAGTACAAAGAAATTAAGAGCATGAGTCCACTATATTACAAAAGAAATTC